ACACACACACACACACACACACACACACACACACACACACACACACACACACAAACACACACACACATTTACATCCATGCCTACGAGTCTCCCTGTCGCGTTGATGACACCCACGCCCAGACACAGGAGAATGAACGCGAGTTCACGGAAAGGAGGTGTTAGCAGATTGAATGAGAGAAGATGGAAAATGAACGATTCTCGGAGACCGGAGAGAGGAGGGCAGTTTCGCTCTGAGAACAGGTTGTCCTCGACGAGCGGTAAGCCTGTCGAATACAAAAATAAACATTGGAGTGTCCCTCCTCTACTGTAAACAATGATCTTCGTTTCGAGTGCAGCCCGGACAGACAAGTTCAGGCATGCGCAATGCAAGTCTCCTTCGAAAAAAAAACGTGAAAAAGAAAAAGAAAACAGCCAAACGGCATCACGACGAATGAACAGCCCGCGAACATTCACTCGCACCAGCACAATGCTCCACAAACTGGACTCGTTCTCATACAAGCACGCCCGCTCACACCACCGCAGCGAAAGGCAGTCTTTATGCAAAGCTCGGTGCAGCACGATGACCACCTTACCTGTACCTGAGTCCCCCATTGTAGAGTGAGGTGATGCCCAGAAGTCCCTCTCGTTTCAGCCGCTTCGACCGGCGACTGCGCCTACCACAGCACACCGAGAACTCAAAGAGAGCCGTCCACCTCCGCCTCGACTTCCACCCTCTCACTTGCACTCCTGCAAGCCCAGATCCCCGCCGCCCTTGCGTGATGACTGTCACACCCGCGTCACGCCGATCTTATTCTTTCTTTTTCCCCCACCATCTTCCCAGTTATTCGCGTTTCCCATGCTCGTACAGGCCGCTGCTTCGCGATCTAACAGCGGTCGAAACGGCGATCGTGCTCGCGGAAGCAATGAATTCTGCAACCCCTCCACGTAACATAAGGAAGAGTGCGGGACAGCACAACCATGGCCCCGCAAGCCTGACCTAACCAACAGTCCCGGCCCGCTCCGTTACGTTTCGACTTCGCACCCTCCCGCCGGCAACGCAACTGGCTCTCCACTTCTCCACAGTCGCTCGTCCGTCTGCCAGAGGGCTTCCAGTTCTCCGCTCTCTCGTTCTCCGACCCTCTTCGCTCGGCATGCCAAACCTCATGCCGCGTTGCATCCCTGTTCCAGTTCTCCGCTCTCTCGTTCTCCGACCCTCTTCGCTCGGCATGCCAAACCTCATGCCGCGTTGCATCCCTGGAGCACGTACACGCTCTCCGCCCGTGCGCGCCCCCTCCTGCCCCCGGCAACTTGTTCAGAGGGACGCCTATGTGCCCCCGCCGGCCGGTTTCCTAGGAAAAGTCTTCCGGAGAGCTCCCGTGCTCGGCGTCCCGATTCCCGGGCCAAGTCAGGTCGGACAGACCTGGGTCGGGCAGTCCTTCGACAGCTTCGTTTGCTCGTGTAGAATAGGTTAGGGAGCACCGCGTGCATCTCGTTATCCGTCCAAGAAAGGCGGGACCAAGATGGCCCCATTTTGAGATTGACTTACCGTGATGGCGCGGGCTGGACGACGTAGGGGGTGTATGAGGCCGGGGGACCCAGTAGAAGGCCAATGTAAGGCCCACGGGGGACCCAGTAGAAGGCCAATGTAAGGCCCACGGGGGACCCAGTAGAAGGTCTTACATGACCCAGTAGAAGGCCAATGTAAGACGCTTCCGCCAGCGCTACAAAGCTCGGACCAAGCACACCCGATCCGGTAACGGGATGGGTCCGGTCGCAGCGACTACCACCATGATAGCGTTTTGACAGGGAAGGCGTGTATGCATAGCGTCGCCATGTCGGTGTGACATAGCCGTGCAGCTATGGCACCTCGGCTCGCGGACTCCGGTTACGGCCCTCAGCTACATGATGAAGACATATACAGAAAGGATTAGATGTGGAAGAAGGGAGGTACAGGAATGGTTCTGGCTTCCCTGGGTAAGGAAGGCGACTTGCGATACATAGTACTGTCGAACTTATCATAGCTCTCCTATAGCAAGTGAGGGGGAAAAAAGAGTACCAGAGGATAAGGTCGACGATTGGTTTCAATACTAGACAGGTAGAGGGAGGCATGCTCCACGAACTTAGGTGGACAAAAGAGAAGAGAGATAGTTAAGTTGTTTTGCTTCTGAACCCATGACGAATGTGGAAATGGAACAGGGGGCTCGCTCCCCCCAGTGGCGCCAGTGGACACAGAAGAAGACAACGATAGATTGCGAGAACTGGGCAGACGGTGCTATGAGGACGGAATTATGCCGGCAAATATAGATCCAAGGGAAATGAATGGAGAAGGAAGAGAGGTACGATTCTAAGTCAATAGCCATATTGATAAGGTAACGATAAATTGGTTAAAGAGGCATACAGTAATTGTTATTTTTCGAGAATGAGCTAGGTTTTTGTTACAGAAGGTGAAAGAAAACATAGTAAGAGCGTTCGAAGACGAAAAAGTGAGTGATGGCTCTTTTGACTCAGCCACATTCAATCGTGGCAGGGTCAAAGTCGAAAGCCTAAACGTAATTCCATATGTTGCAAAGAGCCATATGATAGCCAATTGGCTAACCTTGAAGGGTAGGAATGACATTACAGTAGGGCCAGCTCATTACACATTCAAATTTAAGTCTTGGCTTGCCAAAGCACGGCTGAGAGCGCAGAGGTAGGAGGAAGACGAATCAGTCTTTTGGGTAATTGCAGTGCAAGTACCATTGGATGCGTTTTTTCACTTAGAAGCTCACATGACAAAGGCAATTGGGCCTATCATCTGTACTCATCCGGCGGAGCAGGATCGTTTGAAACCAACCTTGATCAATATCAAATTTGAGATCGATCCGGCGGCCAGAGGAAATATGAGAGACAAGATTTGGGTGGACATGTGTGAAGGTGACGAGTTGGAGGTCGGACTGGCCTCATCGGAAACCCCGAGGTGCAGACAATGCAGAGCCTTTTTCCATAGAATCGGACTGTAGACGGAATCGTCAGCAAGGCTAAGGTGAACCATCACAACAAGCTCAATCAAGGGACACAACCCGTCCTCCATATCAAGGTCAGCTCCAGCCAATTGAAAGTCAAGGAGGAGGAAGTATGGCAGAAGGTTTGAACGAGGAAGGAGGAGGTGCGGCTTCGGCCACAATGGGTGGCGGTCCAAGTCGAGGAGCAGTAGTCTCATCGAGTGGGGGCATCCCTCGACAAGGAATGAACTCCGACAATCAAGGATAATTACACGTTGTCGCTGGAGAAACAAGTAACGTGCAAGGCCAGATGGCTAATCTTATGCAGGGCGGGATCTCACATGGCAGCGCCTGGTACAATAACCCCATGTATTCTTTAGGGTTACAAGCTTTTTCGAGCAGGTTGTTATCGTCGGTTTGCGATCCCACAATGATCATGATGGCACAACCCTGGACGTTCCAACCTTCAATGCAACTCTACCCTGTTGCAGGATTTGTGCCCTGTAGGGATCCGGCGACTCAAGTACCACAGCAAACTGTCGGGGCAATGTCAGTGCCAACGTCGAACAATCAAGCGACCCCAGAGAAACATGTGATGCGGCAAGAAGTACACCAACAGCCAAGCGACAGGCCCCCTGTTGGGACATCCATGTCAGCAGGACCAACGGGACCAACTTCGTCAGGAACGCCTCTTGGAGCGAGAGGTGCGTCAGCCGCGAAACAACTTCGCTTAGACGGGTCTGCGTCAACATCGTCAATTCCCAGGAATGAGGAATGAACTGCACCGCCAAGATCGAAGAGCTCGCAGACCACCGTCGACGGAACACTGGGTATGAAAACGACAAGGAAAAGATTCCCAGCTGCGCTCCAACGAGGTCAGATACACGACCTCGAGGTAAGACCCCTCCCTTTTTTTTTGTACTTATGCCCGTAATAACCTTTGGATCGTATCCCTTAATAGCCAGATGGCTCACAAGCGTTGGTCAACATAGCTGCTCCATAGCAACCGATGCCCTCGTCAATATTTATATTGATTAGGACAATGATCAGGAATAAGTTTCAATTTCGATGGATTGTAGAGGAGTTGGTGGTCAGGGTGATAATTGATCATCCAAACCAACAAGGTATGAAGCTCAAGTTCTTTGTCCCCCTCTTCGATGCACGTTTTGCGCCAGGACAATTGAAATCTCTGGAAACCGAAGGGCTAAGACTACTGCCACTGCTGTGGCTGGTAGAAAAACGGCTACAGGATCTCAGTCGGGGGAAAGTTTCTTCACACAACTCAACAGAAATGCTGGTAGAGGTGGAAGGAAGGCTCCCCAACCTGAAGAAATTGAACTCTCATTTCATGAAGAGCTGGCTCTCTTGTCCGTGGGAACCTGAGAATGAAGCTTCGTTTGGCTCGGTACCTAGTATCCAACCAGCGTCAAGAGGAGGGTTAGGGAATGTCTAGATTGAACCTGACTACTTGGAACTTGAGAGGCTTAGGGGATACCGATGGAAGACACGAGCGAGATAGGTTGAAAGCATGACTCCACCAGAATAAGTGTCAGGTAGTGTGCTTACAGGAAACTAAGTTAAATGAAAATAAGATTATGGACATTGGATATTTTTAGGACGAACCATAAATTTGGTCTCCCTCCATTGACACACAAGGGGCGCACGACTATCTTAATTCACATGGATGAACAAATGGAAGTAGTAGATTATTATGCTAACATGTAGGGGAGATGGTGTTGGGTGAAGTTTGTTAGAGAAGATCTCGAATGGGTAATAGTCTCTATTTATGCACCTACTAATCGGACAGAGCGAACTATTTTTTATGAGGAACTATGATACGTAATTCCGGAAGGAGAGCTTATCATTCCGACGCCAGATTGGAACACTTCTTTAGATGCCACATATACCTCATATGCGGGTGCACGAGATAAAGAAGCGCTCTTGTCCATCATGGAGGAGTTGAATTTGATAGATCTGTATCGGTTGCTCCACCCTGATCTACCAGGCCCCACATGGTTCTCCAATAGAGATGATAAATCAGAAATGACCTGCCGAAGGCTGGACTATTTTTTAATTTTGTCATCTCCCTGGGAAGTGGTCGACAGAGTGGAAGAGTCATTACAGCCACTATCTGATTATAAACCGGTCAACCTATCGTTGAATATGTTGACTCATAATAAAGAAAGAGGAATCTTTCAATTTAATACCTCAAATTTGGAGGAGCCAAGTATTGTGGAATGAATGAGAAAGTTTTGAACAATCTGAGAAACAGCAAGACCAGACTTCTTATCCAGGAAACAATGGTGCAATTCCGGGTCAAAACTGTTTTCCAATATTTTTAATGTTTTCTCGAAGATTTTGGTCACTAATTGAGTGAAGAAGGAGGAACAAAAAAAACAGAGGATTAAGTATGCAGAACAGTGAATGGTCGAACATCCGGTATTGAACTTAGTATGGAGCAAAGAAAGAGCCAAGTTAATGAGTGAGTGAGAGGAACTACAGAGAAAGGACTCATAAACTTATCAGTGGTGAAAAAAATTGTTGTCTTCGATCGGTTGACCAAAGAATTATTTAAGAAACTGGTACCTAGGAGATCGTTTGTGCCCATGAAAGAGTTGATACATCATTTTGATTCATCAACACCAAAGACCAAAAATTAACACAACTATGCGAGTATGCAACAATTTATTACTAGGACATCCTGACGTCGAGACTACAGGGAGCCGATGTGGTAGACAACCTAGATGATGAGAACGATCATTAAAATAATACACAAGTAAGGATATCCATCGGGGGGCGTCTGGATTTGGATCGGTCGATCACAGTCGAAGAAGCCTATGAAGCCTTGAAGGCTATGGCAAAGGGCAGGGCCCCGAGAGATGATGGTCTGCCCGCAGGGCTCTACCAAATGATTTAGAGTGAAGTAGAAGATCGTCTTGTCGAGATCGACAATGAGACCTCGTCGGGAGCTAACCTGTCTCAGAATATGAGACATGATATTATCTCAATGTTGTTCAAGAAAGGGGATCGA